GTGCACACTAATATTATGTATAATATACATTTTAAGTGAATATTATTTTACTTTATATTTACAATTATAAAAGAAAATATAATTTAAAGGAATAAGATTCAAATAGGCCGTCGAATTATACACGATAATGCAATTAGGCCACTGAACCTAAAAAACATACAATTAGATTCATAAACTGACCAATTTCATTCAATTCGTTCAATTTGTAAGTTTCTAATAGGTAATCCTAAATTTAAATTATTTTTAAAAAAATAATTATTTAAAATTTAAGAAAAAAAAAAGACTTCCGAGGCCTGGCCTACATTTTCAAATCCGGCAAATTATTGTATGGACCATGATCCACACAATGTTATGTGGACCATAACAAAAAGTACATTTTTCATATACTAAATATACATTAATTTTGTACTGAATGTACATTATTTTACTGTATACAAAATATGGTTCATACAACTTGTGTGGACCATAATGATTGTTCAAATCAAAACTCCAAATTTAAAATCCCACGATATAATACGGATAAGAGGAGAGAATTGTTAAGTTTTGGCCTTTTCACTCGTTAGTCCCCGCGTGATGCTTGCACAATTATACACCCGGAATTGCGTGTATATATATATATATATATATATATATATATATATATATATATATATATATATATATATATATATATATATATATATATATATATATATATATATATATATATGTATGTGTGTTTGTATATGTAAAGAGAAGAAAAAGGAGGAGGAGAAGAACACCAAGTTATAGTATAACCATCATGTAAGTGTGTCCCTTTCATTCATCTTCACTCACTTTATATAGTGGTCATATACAACCTTTCAAGTACACAACATCAATACATGATTAAATGATAAGCAAATGAAAGGTCTAAATAGTTTAATGGCCATAAATATAAATATTTACAACACTCCCCCTTGGCCATTAAATAATTATACTCATGCCTCGTTAAAAACCTCGCTAGAAAAACCCTGTGGGAAAAACCTAGTCGAGGAAAAGAGTACATGTAGTATCAATCATGTGTTGCATCGGTTGCCTCGTTAAAAACCTTAGCCTAAGAAAAACCCAGTGGGAAAAAAAACTTAGCTAAGGGAAAAAGAGTACAACCATAAGCCTTCTAGGCATCATCTTCAGGATTTAAAAGTCTCCTAGACCGAGTTTATCGCTCCCCCTGAAGACAACAGTCTTCCTAGACTCCGCATCCCAATTTTATAAACATACTTCTCAAAAGTGGATGTAGGCAGGGACTTAGTGAACAAATCTGCCAGATTTTCACTAGAGCGAACCTTTTCAATGAGTATTTCACCACTCTTCTGGAGTTCATGTGGGTAAAAGAACTTAGGAGCAATATGTTTAGTAAGACCTCCTTTAACGTACCTGTTACTCATCTGTGCAACACATGCCGCATTGTCCTCATATAGGACAGTCGGGGAATCAACATTGCTCATTGTTCCGCATGAGCGATGAATATGCTGTATCAGTGATCTCAACCATACGCATTCGCGTGCGGTTTCATATAAAGCAATTATCTCCGAGTGATTAGATGAGGTAGCAACTAAGGTCTGTTTAATGGACCTCCAAGATATAGTTTTACCTCCACAAAGAAAAACATAACCAGTTTGCGATTTAGCAGTATGAGGGTCAGACATATAACCAGCGTCTGAATACCCTTTCAAAGTAATGTCCTGGTTGTTTTCAAAATAAAGACCAAGGTCTTTTGTCCCTTGGAGATATCTAAAGATATGCTTTATTCCACTCCAATGTCTTCTGGTCGGAGATGCACTAAATCTAGCAAGTAAATTCACTGAAAAGGCAATATCAGGCCTTGTGCAATTAGCCAGGTAAAGCAAGGCTCCAATAGCACTTAGGTAAGGAACTTCAGGTCCTAGAACCTCCTCATTATCCTCCTTAGGTCTAAATGGGTCCTTTTCCGCTTCAAGGGATCGGACCACCATTGGGGTGCTAAGGGGATGAGATTTATCCATATAGAATTTCTCCAATAATTTATTAATGTAGTTGGCTTGGTGAATGAAAATTCCATTTGGAAGATGCTCGATCTGCAGGCCGAGGCAGAACTTGGTTTTTCCCAAGTCTTTCATTTCAAATTCTGCTTTTAAGCATGAACATGCTTCTATAAGGTCTTCCTTTGTTCCAATAATGTTCATGTCATCGACATAGACAGATATAATGCAGAAGCCATTAGATGACTTCTTAATGAATATACAAGGGCAAATATCATTTTTAACATATCCCTTCTTCAGGAGGAATTCACTCAGATGGTTATACCACATTCTACCAGATTGCTTCAAGCCATATAATAACCTTTGAAGTTTGATGCTATACATGTTTCGATCTTTATCCCTCATATTGGAATTTTGAATACCCTCGGGTATTTTCATGTATATATCAACATCTAGTGACCCATAAAGGTAAGCTGTCACTACATCCATCAACTGCATATCTAATTTCATACTTACTGCCAATGATATTAAATAGCGGAATGAGATGCCATCAATAACAGGAGAGTATGTTTGATCAAAATCAATTCCGGGTCTCTGCGTGAACCCCTGAGCTACCAATCTCGCTTTATATCTAACCACCTCATTGTTTTCATTCCTCTTCCGTACGAATACCCACCTGGATCCTACTGGGATCACATCTTTTGGGGTAAGTACGGTGGGACCAAAAACTTTTCTTTGATTAAGCGAGTTGAGCTCTGCCTCAATTGCCTGTTTCCACTTCAACCAGTCAGAGCGCTTCCGGCACTCGGTTATTGACTTTGGTTCTGGATCCAGATTATTTTGTGGAATATTACAGGCAACTGCATAGGCAAAAGTGTCGTCGACGACTATTAAATCTCTGTTATATGTTTCTCCTGTATCAACAAAATTTATGGACGTTTCTATATTGACATCAACCAGATCATCGTCATTTCCCAAAATATTTTGATCTGGATGTTCCGCATTCCCAGTGTTCGTATTATTTAGAGCACGTGCAGGTTCACTGGGTTCTCCGTCTTCGGGACGGTCGTCTTTAGGACGGTTAACATTTTTCTGGAGTGACTGAGATAATTTACCAATTCTCGTCTTCCGTGGATTTAAATCTTTTGCACCAAGTGGTCTCCCGCGCTTCTGGCGATGGGGAGTGTCAGTGTGCATACTTGGTCCCACGGGGACTTCAACTCTCGAAGGAGCATTCACAGCAGGGATATGGGACCTAGTCACTCCTCTGTTATCAGTAAAAGCATCTGGCAGGTTATTTGCTAAATTTTGCAAATTAATAATTTTCTGAACTTCTAGTTCAGTTTGACTAGTACGTGGGTCTAGATACTGAAGATCCTTTTCATCCCATGAGATTTCTCGGCATTTCGTTAAATAAGGTCTTTTATCTCCCCCTAATGCCGGGAAATGATCTTCATCAAAAATGCAGTCAGCGTACCTCGCGGTAAACTGATCTCCTGTCATGGGCTCTAGGTATTTAATGATGGAAGGAGATTCATAACCAACATATATACCTAGTTTTCGTTGCAGGCCCATGGAGGTACGATTTGTAGGTGGTATGGGGGTATAAACTGCACACCCAAATACACGCAGATGGGAAATGTTAGGTTCTACGCCACGTAGTAGTTGCAAGGGGGAATAATCATGATATGCACTAGGTCGGATTTGAATTAAAGCTGCAGCATGTAATACTGCGTGTCCCCAACATGAGACTGGTAAACCAGACTTCTGCAGTAATGGTCTAGCGATTAATTTAATACGCTTAATCAGAGACTCAGCCAAGCCATTCTGAGTATAGACATAAGGTACAGGATGCTCCACTTTGATGCCCAAGGCCATACAATAATCATTGAAAGCCGTTGATGTGAATTCTCCAGCATTATCCATTCTTATTGATTTAATGGGATAATCTGGGAATTGGGCATTCAACTCAATAATTTTCGCAACAAATTTAGCGAAAGCTTTGTTCCTCGTGGACAGTAGACTAACATGAGTCCAACGAGTGGAAGCATCAATAAGGACCATAAAATATCTAAATGGTCCAGAAGGTGGACTAATAGGTCCACAAATGTCGCCCTGCAATCTCTGCAGAAATATAGGCGATTCATGTCCAACCTTAGTACGCGACGGGCGTACAATATATTTACCTTTCGCACAAGCCACACATGTAAACATATTTGGCGAAAGTACCTGAGATCTAGACAGGTTATGTCCAGCAGAATTAGATATGATCCGGCCCATCATATTCTGCCCAGGATGACCCAGACGGTCATGCCACATTTGAAAAGAATGTGGATTTTTTAGTTTCATGGTAAGTGCCACAAATGAATCATTGGGTTGTATATAGGTATAATATAACCCAGAGGATAAAGAGGCAAGTTCCTCAACCTCCCGCTTTTGACCAGTGATCAACTGAGTCATGGTCAAGAACTCCTCTTTGTTCTTAGTCTTGGTTTCAATATGGAAACCATTTGAACGAATATCTTTGAAACTCAGCAAGGTTCGTTTAGATTGAGGGTACAACAAAGCATTTTCAATTAGTAGCTTTGTACCCTTAGGGAGGATGATGGATGCTCTTCCGGAGCCCACTATTTGTACCTGATCATTAGAAATGGTAGTAAATTACTACTTGATTTGTTTAAGGTACGAAAAAACCTCATATCCGTTAGGATAGTATGCGTGGTTGCACTATCCACCAAACACAATGTTGGTTCATGCTCCATTGTGCGAACAACAACTTTGTAATGTTGTAAGATCTTCGGGGTTACTTCTCGAACAGTGGTTGTTCGTTACTAATTAACTAATGCCTTGGTACAAAAAATAGCATGTGAAGGTTAAAAAAAGAGGTGAACCATTCATCATGATAAAATAGAAAACATAGAAATCAAGTCATAAAACGATATGAAAAAAAAACATAAGTTCATAATCCAAAAAAAAAGATACGAAAAATAGGTTCATAAACCAAGAGCATAAGACAGATCATTCTTGATCACCAAAGTCTTCAAGCTCATATTTTAAAAGATCATCATCATCATTCATCACTGCATTTGCTTCAGGCAAATCAGTGTTGGTGTGATGAGATTCCTTTCTTGACGGTTGCTTATCATTTTTCTTTTGCGTCATTTTGTAAGCTTCAACCAGATGCTTTGGTGTACGACATGTACGAGACCAGTGTCCCGTACATCCACACCGATAACATGTTTGTGACCTTGATGAACCTTGATCACTTTGTTTCTTATCTTGGGCCCGGGAGTCATTGTTGCCTTTGCCTTTACCACTTCGATTGTTTCGACCGTGACCTCTACCACGACCCTTTCCTCGACCCCTTCTAGAATTGCTTCCCTGGGCAGTATGATGTGCTTTAGGCGCGGGGGCAGACCCAGCAGGTCGTGCATTATGGTTTTTCATCAACAACTGGTTGTGCTTCTCGGCCACAAGAAGTGCAGATATCAAATCAGAATGCTTTTCATAATTCTTTGCCCTGTACTGCTGCTGGAGTACAAGGTTACTCGCATGAAAGGTAGACAGAGTCTTTTCAATTAAGTCTGTCTCTGAAACTTCTTGTTTGCAGAGCTTTAGTTGCGAGACTATCTTATGAAGGGCCGAGTTGTAGTCAATAACTGACTTATAGTCCTGAAACCTCAGGTGAAGCCAGTCAAATTGGGCTTGAGGGAGGACAATCGATGACTGCTGGTCAAAGCGGTCCTTCAGGACTCCCATAATGCCAAAGGGTCCTTTTCAGTCAAGTATTCATTTTTCAGGTCGTGTTTCAAGTGGTGACGTAAGAAAATGAGAGTCTGCGCCTTCTGGCGTTTGTACACTGTGACTCAGCAACAATGGTTTGGCTTAGTTCTTTAGACGCGAGATGAATCTCGATGTCTAAAGCCCAAGTCAAATAGTTGCTGCCGTCAAGTGCGAGCTCATTAAATTCTCTTTTGGCGATAGAAGACATGATCTACAAAACATATATCGTATGGTTTCATATACATTCATAAAATCATATGTTCTCATAGCAAAATAAGGAATTTAATAGGATCTCTAGATGCAAAGCAAACTTCAAGAGATGAAATTGAAAGGTAAAAACTGAAAAACAAATTGACCTTTCAGATTCATGCAAGAGGGAAACTTTCATATTGAAGCATAGCAACCTTATTAGTAACATGCTCATATTGCAGTAATAAATCACAAAATAGCCATGATTAACATAATTTAACAATAGCATCTATGCAATTTAATTTGGATGCTCTTATGCGCATCATACATTATCAATACATTATATTGTGTACGCACATTACATTATCAAAATTCATGTGTACAATGCAAAAAATGAATTTTGAATATGAATGAATAAAGAAAGTAAATTCTTAGAGATAAAAATAATAATAATAATAATAATAAAAGACAATACGTATAGAAATCTATTCCTGCTATGTATATGTAATCAATTCTTCCATCATACAATACTTAATCAAGAGGGACAAGACAAGACAATTTTTTTTTTTAAATGTAAGAACTGTGCACACACTGTAGAAGCAAAATCACATTTGTTTTTCACAGAAGCAAAATAAAATAGAAATATATATATTACAAAATTTCGATTATGACATACATCCAAAATTTTGATTATAACATACATCCAAATAATTCATTTATGACATGCATCCAAAAAGATTTAGAAAAAAAACAGTTTATCTAAAGAAACAATCCATTTTAATTGTAATTGCTATTCAAAAACAAAATTAATGAACCATATTCTATTTTCACAAAGAGAAGGAATTAAAACTTTCTAGATGCAAAATTTTCACAAAATATATAAATATCTATTTTTTTTTGGGAAAATATATACAATCTAATAGTGGATTATATACACACATTATTTATCATATGAAAGTAAATTTCAAGAATACAAAGGATCAAATATAATCATTATGAGCCAAATATGCAATACGTACATTTCTTCCGAAGAGACAAAGATTTTAGATTTCCTTATTCAAGAATTTGCAGGCATATATACAAACTATGCGTACATATACAATATCATACTTATCTAGACAATATAATATAATATATTAGGAAGATAACCAGGCATATTGTGTTCATATATTTCATTCAATTCGCAGGATATAGAATTGGAAAAATATATTCATGAATTTACACAAACATACATATATGAGCCAATATGTGCAATTCATATTTCAAATTTCAGAAGAATATGTATCATATAAAACAATATCTTCAAAAGGAATCAAAAGGCATATAACCAATAATCATATCCACATATCCATAGAGCACAAAATATACAATTATAGGCATTTTTGGCAACTAGGGATGATAAAAAAAAAATTAGCAACATTGTTCATGCCAGCATGTATATTTGAACAAATAAACATGGCAGAATATTTATATGCATTTTTGAATAAAATATTGTATGCAATATTTTCAGTTTATGTTATAAAGGATACACATAGCATTTACAGACAATGCATATAATTCAATCATACAGAGTACATATTTTATTAACAACAAATATGCACTTTGTAAGAAAAGTAATGTATAAAGCATACCGTTCACCGAAGAGCGTGCTTGATAACGTGTTAAGTTTTGGCCTTTTCACTCGTTAGTCCCCGCGTGATGCTTGCACAATTATACACCCGGAATTGCGTATATATATATGTATGTGTGTTTGTATATGTAAAGAGAAGAAAAAGGAGGAGGAGAAGAACACCAAGTTATAGTATAACCATCATGTAAGTGTGTCCCTTTCATTCATCTTCACTCACTTTATATAGTGGTCATATACAACCTTTCAAGTACACAACATCAATACATGATTAAATGATAAGCAAATGAAAGGTCTAAATAGTTTAATGGCCATAAATATAAATATTTACAACAAGAATCTAATTTTAAGTAGAATTTTAAGGTGGATTTCACAATTCATTGACTGATTTACTAATGAATGTATGTGATAAATTTACAATATTAAAGACTAAGGTGGAATTTGGTTCAAAGATACGAACCAAAATCAAAATTCGAATTTGGAATGACCAAACTTTTAGTTAAACTGATGTACCTTAAACTAGAAGGTGACGCACCTTAAACTTTAAATATACGCACCTTAACAGCACGTTTGGTTCACGGAATGAATTTTGAGGTAATAGGAATGCTATTCCATAAGGAATGGAATAGACAAGGAATAGAATAGGAATTGTATTCTATTATTTGGTTAGCGGAAGGAATAGACTTTAGAAATTATATTACAGTGTTTGGTTGATTTAAGGAATAGAAATGAAATATGTTTTAAAAGACATAAATACCCTTATAAAAATATGTGATGATGGCGATGGTGGCGGCGGCGGTGGTGGTGATGGCGGTGGTGGCGGTGGTGCTGGGGTGGTGGTGGTGGTGGTGGCGGTGGCAGTGGTGGGGGCTACGGTGGTGGTGGCGACAGTGACGGTTGTGGCAGTGGTGGTAGGGGCGATGGCGGTTGTGGTGGCGGCGGCATCAACGATGGTGGTGGCAGTGGTGGTGATGGTGGTGGTGGCGGTGGTGGGACTGGGGTGGTAGTGGTGGTGGTGGCGGTGGCAGTGTTGGGGGCGGCGATGGTGGTGGGGGCGGCGACGGTTGTGGCCATGGTGGTGGTGTCGGCGGCGGCGGTGATGGTGGTGGTGGCGATGACGGTGGTGAAATAGGATAAATTTATATATAGGATAAAAAAATTAGGTTAAAGAAAGGGGTAAAAAAGAAAATAGATTCTAAAATTTATTCCTAAGCGTTCAGTAATAGGCTAATACCAGGGGGGGCCTAGTAATAGCTATTACCTTATTTGAGGTAATAGGCTATTACCAGGAATATTATTCCTGGTAATAGAAATGGTTACCAAACAAAGGAATAGGCCTATTACTGAGAATGCTATGCCATTCCCGACCTATTCCGTGAACCAAACGGGCCATAAGTTTTAGACTTAAGCACCTTAAACTTTAAACTAAGACACATAATGTTATAAACTTACACACCTTAACTTATAAACTTACGCACCATAAGCTTTGAACTTACGCGCCTTAAGCTTTAAACATACGCACCTTAAGCTGTGACCTTATGCAAAATGATCATAATGTCACGACGTTTTTTTTAACTGTTCTTCATTTTAGGCTGTTGATTTTGGCAAGATCAAAAACTATGATTAATCTGCATGTTTCACCTAGGAGAATCCTTACACCTAATCCCTTATATATATATATATATATATATATATATATATATATATATATATATATATATATATATATATATATATATATATATATATATATATATATATATATATATAGAATCCGGATCAGGTGAGGACCTAATCTTAGGTGAGGACGTGAGGACTAATCTTGTGCATTTGTTTTTTTATTTGGATGGTCCAGATTTGAGTTCTTGAGATGACATGGATTGATCTTTTTTGTTAAAGTGGGATAATAGTGTCTTTTTCTATTTTTTTAAGTGTGAACGCATGTATAATCCTTGGCCAAATTGGTTTCCTATTTTCTTGGATCATCACCGTTGCAATTTGGAGCCACAATTTCTTCATCATTGATTGAGTGTTCGCCCATGCAAACTAATCAGTATTTTTTATTTTTTTTTCGCTTGTTCTTTTGAGTATAATATTGTCTATATTTGGATTATCGTGTATATGTATAAATGCCTGGGTAGTACGATTGTGCATTCGTGTGTGCTGATTGTGCAACCTAGTGTTGTAAGTTGTGCACTATAGGCTAGGGAGTTGTGCATTATAGCACATAGTTCAATGCATCGTAGAACATTGGATGTTCACTGTATGATTTTTTGGCGGGGTTCGAATGCACAACAATGAAGTTATTGATGCACAACACTCAGTATAGGAATGCACAACACTCAGTATAGGAATGCACAACATTTTGTATAGGAATGCACATATTTTAATAAGACTGATTTACCCTAAATTTATATATTTTAATATTTTAAAGGGATTTGTTTTTTTAATCTCAATCATACATCATTCTGATTTAATGGTCTAGATTAGTCCTCACGTCCTCACCTAAGATTAGGTCCTCACCTGATCCGGACCCTATATATATATATATATATATATATATATATATATATATATATATATATATATATATATATATATATATATATATATATAAAGTTACCTTTGTATTCACCTACTATCAAGTAAAAGTGAAGATTGATATGATTTATCTATTTGGATAGATCAACAGTTAAGGATTGTAACCTTGGGGTGTGGTTGAGTGGAAGGGACTCATCCATCTTTAACCAAAGGTTCAAGGGTTCGATCATTGGCTTTGGGTATGGAGCAACCTTAAATCTCAAAGTCAGTTATCCTACTCAAAAGAGGTGTCTACAATTCAGCAAGAGAATTAATCACTGTGTTCGACGGTGAAAAACTGAAAACTCTGGGTACACCCCAAAAAAAAAAAAAAAAAAAAAAAAAAAAACAGTTATAGATTGTTGAAAAATAAGGGGAAAACAGCATACCGGTTTTATAAATATTGCAAACTTGAAAGTTTGCAATGATTATAAAATTGACACTATGTTTTCTTTACTAAAATCCTTAATCATGGATAAATCATGATGGACGAATGTAATCAGTCTTTACTTTTATAGGAATTCTCTATTATGATTTAAACCCCTAATATATATATATATATATATATATATATATATAT